GGAATTCTATTATTGCCACAGAAAACAAACTAAGCCACCATCATAGAACAGTGCGACAATTAGGGCTGTCTCAAGGTCACCACTCAGGTAGTCTTATGTTCATTCAGGACATATGGATAGAAGACAACGGGTAACTTTCAGTATCTCTAAAGATAGCATAAATTAAAAGAAATTACTGGTGACTATGAGTTTTCAAGACTCAGCTGAATATATAAATATTTGAACATTGTAGCTTTAATTCACTTTGCAAAACTTGGCAACTTCTCCCCTCTTCTACTCACCTGTCCTACGATTCTGGCCCCGAGCCCAGCCTGGCTGTGCTCTCTGGAGTGCAGCATAATCTAACAGCCTGCAGAAATAAACTCTCATCAGGTGACCCTAAGGGAGCTCGAAGGCCACCTCAGATTAGCCCAGGAGCAGCAGGGTAACAAGAGCTAACTGCACAATTGTATGGAGACTTACCAAGCAACAGATCTCTCCATTGAAATTCCCTGCAATGGAGAGTGAAGTACTGTTCAATTATTTTGGCAGGACTTACTTTCTGATTTCTGACTTTCCTGCCAAATACTAACAACACATAAAATAACAGAGGCTTTGCCCTCTTTAAAACCCACAGTCTTTGCAATCAGAGTTGACTTCTTATTTGCAATGGTCTGTTCAGCTGCCTTATGCTCCATAGCCTCACACTTCCCTGCTCAGGGCCTTTTCATCACAGCTTCTCAATAAATACTGGCTGAAAAAATAAAACTCCAGGCTATAACACTCTTTCAGCAAAAACAAACCATACTCAATCATCTTTATTCAGCCTAATCTGGCTCCTGAAATGTGTACTTTGAAAATTCTAGGCAGGAAATGTAAGGGGGCAGTGGGAAAAAGACAATAGGAAATTGCAATTACTCACATTTTAAAGGTTTTTAAATAGCAATTCTCCCTCCCACTTAGATATCTCTTAACCCACTTTATCTATCTATAGAGCTTCATGAATATTAATCTTTGTACCTAGCAACTGAATGCGTATTCATTCATTCACTTGACCCACTCTCACTGTCTCGCATGTGCTAGCCCAGGTACTTCATATTTACTATTCATTTAGGTCTCATTTTCCCTCCAAGGAAGCAAGCTCTTTTATTTGTTTTTGTTTTTTGTTTTGTTTTTCTTCCAGTACCAGGAATCAAACTCATGACCTTGCGCTTGCCAGGCAGGCACTGTACCGCTGAGCTAAATAAATCCCCAGCCTAGCAAGCTCTTTTAACACAGACATACAGTTAAGGGAATAGTTACACAGAGCAGGTCTGGGATAGGAAGGACAAATTCACGTTCAAGTTCAGTTCCAAGAACAAGGACAAAAGCAAACGCAGTTCAAGGAATTTTAATAGAAAGCCATTGTGGCTAAAATACAGAGGGCCTCACCTGGCTACACTGGATGAGAATTAAAGTGCCAGAAAAACCTAAAACTTTCGAAGACCAAGTCTTCAACCAACATAGCGTAGCATACATATGTAGGACATGTTTACACTCATTTTAGGGATATTCTTATATCCCTAAAATTAAGATTTTAGCATATCTTAATTCCCTTTATTCCCCTTTCCCCCACCTTCTCCTCCCTCCCTCAGTCTCTAGATCTCCTCTGCCATTCCCTTGTCTTCCTTTCTTTTTTTTAGTTCATGTTTGCAACACATAATGGTAATATTTTGTGATGTGTATACCCAGACACAGAAACACACACACACACACACACACACACACACACACACAAACACACACACATACACAAAGGAATATTATTCAACCTTTAAAAAGAATAAAATCTAACATGGATGGATAGACCTGGAGAACATTATTCTAATTAAAAGAAACCAGGGGCTGGGGATTTAGCTCAGTGGCAAAGCGCCTGCCTGGCAAGCACAAGGTCGTGAGTTCAGTTCCCGGTACCGGAGAAAAACCAAAGAAAAAAAAAAAAAAAAAAATTAAAAGAAACCAGACAAAGAAAAACAAATGTGTGCACTCTAAAAATGTTAAACTCAGAAGAAGAAAGAATGACGCTACCAGGGACTAGTAGGTGGGGAAAAAGATGGTCAAAGAGTACAAAGTTCCACTGCACAGGAAGCATAAGTTCCAGAGATCTAACGTACAACATGGTGGCTACAGGTAATGATACTTTATCATGTACACTTGAACAGTGGTGTCTGAAGGTTCTATATCCATGGATTCCACCAACCACAGATTGAAAATATTTGAAAAAAGAAACTATCTGAACATAAGCAGACTTTTACCTTGTCACTAATATATGATTTTTATATATTAAATATTATAAGCAATTATAGAGATGATTTTAAATAGACAAGAGGGAAATATTATGCCATTTTATACAAGGGACTTGAGTACCCTCAGATTTTGCTAAGTATGGGGATCCTAGAACCAATATCTCAGTTGATACCAAAAGACAACTGCATTTGACATTTTCTATCAGAATAGATCTCAAATGTTTTTGCCACACATACATAAGGATATGAGGTGATAGGGACATTAATGAGCTTGAGTGCGGTTATCATCACACAATGTATACATAGATCAAACACTGTACACACTGTAAATATACACAATTTTTATTTGCCAATTATACCTTGCTAGAGTTGGTGAAAAAAGACTATGACAAGGAAAAAAAAAAAGCTGAAATGTCTCCCCTGATCAGAAACAAAATGTAAAGTAGAAATGCAAAGTATACTTTAGCAGAGGTGTTCACCAACCTACTTCTGTGGGACATCAGGGTTAAAAGTGGCGCCAGAAAAAGGCTGGGACCTGCGCCAGGCTGAGTGTTGGGAATAAGAGAACATGCGGAGAGATGCCCTCACATCATGATGAAAAGGGGGCTTTTAAAATGTGCTTGCCCAGGGAGGAAAGAGGAGACAGCTGTAATCTCTCAACTGGACATGGGCTGTACTGTCTGGGGGCCTGGTGGCAGACCTTAGATACTCCATCATCATCACCGAAGAGAAGCCCCATCTGCAAACATAAGATTTGGCTCTGAACAAGGGTCCCTGGAGAAGGAAGTAGCTAACAGCAAATCCCTAAAAGAATCAGAGTGAGTGCAGAGAAACAACCTCTGAGACCAGTGCAAGGTGAGTCTCTAACTATAATTCCAAAGCACAAGAGAAAAAAACTAGCACATCAGACAATGGCCAATAAAGTCAGCATCACAGGAGTTCTCTTTAGAAGAAAGGAAAAAACAACAACCTGAAAATGATGTTAAACTGGAGTTTTCAAAACAAGAAGGAGATTGCACAGAGTTTACAGTTTAACATTCCTCAAATGAAATTTCTTACCATGGACATTTTGAAGTTCTAAATGCCTAGCTCACACTTTCCAGTGATGTAGTGAATATGCTGTGTCATCACTATGTTTAGCAACTGACAGATCACCAAGTACAGCTGTGTCTCCCAGGAGGGAGAGACCAAGTCTCCTGCCCCATCACAGCCTGTGACTGAGTGACTCAATATCAAAGTCTGAGGAAAATTGAGGCTTTAAGCACACTCTTCTTGCTTTTATGCTATAACCTAAAAAAAAAAAAAAAGGACTGTATAAACCAAATCAATTGAAAACAAAACCCTGGGAAAAGTTTCTGTAGTATTGAACTTGAGGATTTCATTGAGCTGCTCCAACTCCTCTGGTGTGGTCAGTACTTGGAACTTCAATTAATCAAGTTTTCTCCCTTCTTCAAAGGGAGAAGTAACAACAGCTGCTACTAGGAACAACAGGGTACGGGCAGAGAGGAAAACCACACATTCTGCTCAAATCCCTACTAGAATTTTGGCTTAGGGAGAGGAAAAACCCCTGTGGAAAGTTGGCAAAGCCGGAAAGCACAGTTACCTTTATGAAAATAGAATTCCAGGGAGCCGTGATGCATTAGCCAATGACTAATTGTAGTCATTTTATTTACATCCCAAGCAAATGTTGCAAAATGCTCTTTCTTAAGCTCTCAAAGGAGACCCTAGAAAGCTCTCCCAATGTCAGGCCCATGGCAAACTCTAGTTGGTCTAGAATCACAGATTCAAGAGTGGTCACTTCTCTAACCCAGGCAAAGTCCAAATGAGAGCTCCGTGCCAAAGCAACATAAATATGTGGATGTGCCTGAGGTGGGAGGTTGCTCGGCTGTTGCTTCCAAATCTGAACCAAGGCCAGAATTTCCCATAGGGCAAAGGCAATGCCAGCACAGCCAGCAGGTACTGAAAAGCTCAGAGGCCACTTGGATTATAAATCTGATTTAGGTAGCCCCCTCTGAAGCAGGAAGAATCATAATGATTAATGTGTATTTATTGCCATTGATCAAAAACCAATAAACCTTGCCAACAGAGATTTATTAGGAAGGAAATCAAGAAGCAACATAGAATTACCTGACAGTTATTTAGAAGTTAATTACTCAATTTCTTCTGACCATGTCTTTCTGTTGACTAGATTTGCTCAACCCAATACAGAAATAAAGCCAAGGAGACTTAAGTTACTCTGGGGCTGCAAGCTGTTGCTAACGGTTTGGTGAAGGGAAGGAAGTATGCCTGGGGGGTGGATATTAAAATTAGTGGAAAAGTGATTGTTGTCTGTTCTGGCTAGCAGACTATAAAGTATGGGTCCTGGAGCCAAACAGAGCTTTGGTTTCTCATCTGCTACTTATTAGCTGTGTGTCCTTGGGCAAGTAACCTGGTCTGTCTGAGTCAGCTTCCTTATGGGGAAAAATGGGAATATTAAAAGCTACATTTGAGAGCAGTCATAAAGATTGAGAAAAATAAAATAATACAGCGAACGAAATAAAGTTCTTCCTGTTTGGTAGGCATGCAAGCTAAACTATTAAAAATTATGTATAACTGACTCCCCTCATATAGTTCAGATGAAAGTAAATGTTCTTCATTGGAGAAATAGGCTTTCTCAAGTAAAAGTGCACCTTTTAACCTACCAACTTCTCTGTGATTTCAATTTGTATCATAAAAGTTACATGAGTTAAACTTTACCTGTCGACTTCCCTGCTTGGAGGAACAGCTACTTGTGCTCCTTGAAGGTGAGACCAATTTTTGGGATACGCCGAGGTTCTTCTCATCACTCATCATGAACAGCTGGTCCCTGGGCCTTGATGCAGTCAGGATGCCATCCGAAGCCAGGGGAGCAGAAAATACGGAGGCTGGGAGTTCAGCTCTTCTCCAGTATATTTAAAAACATTTTTGATTACCCCAAGGAAATGCCTAAACCAAAGGAAAAGGAATTGGAAAGAAGGTCAGAGGTATCAAACATCATCCCCAGGCACAAATCATCTGCAAGTGGCTTGTCCATACTACAGATTACAGAGCCCTGCGCTACGCTATTCTCTAGAGGTTGGGAAGGAAACGAAGCTTTACAACTTCCTCCTATTGGAAATTTTGTATAGGTGGTTTTTCATGTAGTCTTGCAATGTAATGGTTTAAGAATATTACTATGGAAATGTAAGTCCATACACATACAAAGTCAGTACTGTAAAAAGTACAAAGCCATAATGAGATATTACATTACATTCCCTATGATAGCTAAAAGAATAACAACAACAAAATAAAGACAATAACTAAAGTTGGAAAGAGTACAGAGGTATTGGAGCCCTCAGACTTTGATAGTAAGAACCAACAATGGGGGCAGGAGTGGTGCCACACACCTGTAATCCCAGCACTGGGAAGGCAGAGGCAGGAGGATCACTGTGAGTTCAAGGCCAGCCTGAACCATATAGTGAGCCCCTGTCTCAAAAAAAAAAAAAAAAAAAGCCAACAATGGTACAAGCATGAATAGTTTGGCAGTTTCTCAAAAATGCAAAGATAGGCACCAGGGATATAGCTCAGCAGCACAGCACCTGCCTGGCAAGCACAAGGTCCTGAGTCCGATTCCTGCTACCAAAAAAAAAAAAAAAAAAAAAGCAAAGATAGAATTATTATATGATCCAGCAATGTTCATAGCCAAAGTGGAAACAACCCAAATGTACATCAACTGAAGAATGGAGAGACTGAATGTGAGAGTCATATAGTGGGATATTACTCAGATATTAAAAGGAATGAAGTACTGACATACACTATAACTTGGATAAATCCTGAACACATTGCTCTAAGTAAAGAAGCCAGACAGAAAAGGCCACATGTTATTTATAAGTTTCTGTCTATATAGATACCCAGAGTCAGCAAATCCATAGAGACAGGAGGCTAGTCAGTGGTTGCCAGGAGTTGCAGGGTGAGTGAGGAATGGGGTGGAATTGCTTAAGGGCTGTGCGATTTCCTTTGAGGATGATGAAAATATTCTCGAACAAGATATTGATGATGTCTGCCCAACACTGTAGAAGTACCCATGTCACAGAACTGTACACTCCAGTTCCTTGAAAATGGTTAAAAAGGTGAATTTCATGTTAAAAGTAATACAATTTTTACAAACCTCTTTCTGGTTTTTTGGAGACGGATGGGGAATTTGTTCTTCCCAAGGTTTTTGGAAAACATGGTCTTTAAAAACCCTATATGACAGGGTAACAAAACTGTGAAGGGCAAGTAAAATTTTCTACATTGGCATGTTAATGATTAAAACAATGATAATTTATTAAGTCTATATTATTTACTGCCAAGCAAATTTTGTTTCCTTTAATGAACAATGTGACAAGAGTATTAAACTTATTTTATGGGAAAAAAAAAATAAGCATCTCAGAAGTTAGGTCACTTTCCCAATCACACAACTGGCAAGAGGCTGAATCGGAGCACTCTCCCAACCCTTTGGCCATGGTGTTGAAAACTGGCCCGCACCCAGTGACCAGTTATGATGATAACAGCTGCTGTCCCATACAGGAGAGCTGGACTAGAAAGAGTAGGGGTGAGTGACTGCAGAGATAACACCCTGTACCTTTCTAGACACAATACCAATCTCTGAAATGGCAAAGTATCTGGGGTGGGGAAAGACACGAGGACCAGGGCAGAGACAGGGATAGCCCTAGTGCCAGCTAGCTGGGCCACTTCCCGACACCTCTGCAGCTCTTTGGGAGTACTGTCTTGTCCCAGTTTCCAGGGAGAAGCCCTGGAATCACACCACCTTTATCCATACCCCTGAGGTAAGGGCAATTAATATGTTTGGTTTGGGGCTTCAGAAAGTCAAGGATTTTACTTAACACATTAAATTCAAGTAAATTCTACAACTTCCTCACCCATGTTAACCACAATAAGAAAAATGACCTCCAGTCCATCCAGTTACTAGTATTCACATAGTCTAATTTTAACAGAAGAATGTTATATAATTGTCTGGAAACTGGCTAGTTAGGTTATCAGACTTTTAGTTAATTATTCAATAGTTAAATCTCTTATGTTTTCACTGACAATAAGCTCTTTAAACTAAAATCAAACCAATAAAGAAAAATGTCTAAATTTCAGAAAATAAATTCAGGTGCCTATAGCCAAAGATGTCCACTGTGATGTAACTACCACCTAATCCAACACACACACACACACACCTTTTTATAGCAGTTGAAACCTACAATAAATAACACCAAAAGCAAATCAACACCAGCCTCTTGATAACATTAGCTCTTCTTACTGCGCCATGATTATTACTGATTATTATTACATGATTATTACATGATTACTGGGTATCTGAATTAACAGCAAATTGACCTAGTTATAAACTGCCCAGAGAAGCTGTAAAGATATATTACTAGTTTGTTTAATAACCATGTTGGCTGTTGCTGCTTGAGAAAGGGAAAAACAACTAACCTGATGGGAGCTGGAAAAGGTTGAATGAGTAAGTGTGTGTGTGTGTATGTGTGTCTGTGCCTATGTACATGTGTGAATGTGTATGGACTCCACTGCTATAGCAACATATCCACAATGGATTAGGAATACCAACAAAGAACTTCTGCTTGTGCATGCAAGTTTTTGTTTTTTCTTTTTAGGGCTAAGGTCCTGATAAATGACAGTATGGAAGCATGAGAAATGTGAAGAAGGGAGAGAGTGAGGGCAATAAAATGACAGTCACAGGAATTCTTAAACTGTGCCAAAATAGAATGTCATAACCCTGTCTTAAAGGGCCTAAAAAGGGCCATCTTTATCTTTTGACCTTGCCAATCTCGCTTTGGAGGGGACAACTACTTGGGCCAAGACTGTAGGTAGGTGAAGTCTGATTCTCATTGAAGTTGGCACTTGTGGTTAAGGCTTCCACCAGCACCCTATCCCTGCCTCTTCACCTCCTTCAGGGGAAGTAAGAATCCACAGCTCCTCCCACATCTGCACTCTCAGCAGAGCCTGGGATTACTGCCCAGGGAAATACATCTACTTCATCCCACAGAACCTACCTTCATACTAGTCTCAGCAAAAATTTAGCTAAAATGACCCAGGGTAGCTTAAGTTCTGGGAGGAGGATATACTTAGATGGAGCAGAATTACAAATGACAGCACTAGCCCAAGACCGAGGGACCTGAGATGCCAGGGTCCTCACTTGGATAGAGGCAACTATTACGTCCACCCTAGAGGACCCTAGGGATGGGCTGGATCACAAGAGGGAAGAAATTAGCAGGAACCCCAAGAAACCTCAATAGGGGGCATATTCTGTTCCAAGTGGCTGTTTTCATTGTGCTGACCTACGTCAATGAGGAATTCTCTAAGAGGGATGTGGGGCCTGGGCCCAGGCTGCTGATTCAGGGGTCCATGAGAGGCTGAGGTGGTTATCTGTGAAGCTCTTTGAGTGCTTTCACCCCGTCCAGTGACCCTGCAGTGGAAGATGTCCAACTCAAGAGATTCATTAGTTAGGAAAAAATGTAATAGCTTCCTGATCACGGACTATGAACAGCTTAAGGATGATAATTTATTTCCATCTATTTTTTTTAATGAAGCATAACTTCCACACAGTAAAATTAACAGATCTTAAGAGCACACACAGAATTTTACATTTGTAAGTACATAATCTTCACCTAGATCAAGAAGCAGAACATTCTGCAGCCTCCCCAGAAGGGTCCTGGGTCCTGGGGCAAGGGGTTGATCCCTGAAAGGGCTGAGCACTACATCCTTGCCAATGTGCTGGAGGGATCAAATATGTTCCAGAGCTGCTTTTTAGTTTCCTGCCTACAAAAAATGTCAATAAAACCATGTTGAGGAGGAAAACTCATAACTGCTTTTTCTCTAAATCATGGGGCCATCAAATCAACTAGGTGTGAAAAGAAGATGTACTTAGGCCAACTGAAAACTGTCCTTCTGGGATCTCTGGGGTGATCAGGTTCCCCTCTCACCACTGCCACCCAGCTATGAGAAGTTGATGCGCCAGGCCCTGGGTGAAAAACCAGTGCTACAGTTGAAAGTCACATGGCTGTAAGTCATGCAAACATGTGGCAACCTGGGGCTTCCACAGGTGAAAAGAGACTGGATTTCTACCAAAAATGGGGAAGAATTAGTAACTATTGTTTTGCCAAGGCTGATTTATAACTTACTTCTAAGACAAATGTCATCTAGAAAAGAGACTGGGAAAAGATGGAAAGAAGCCATGTGCACACCACATACATACGTGCCTCAGAGGAAGCCAGCTAGGGTTTGCACTGGTGCTTCCTTATTACAAACACTGTACCTTGACAAATGCACTAGTCTTTGGTTTTTATGTATCAAATGGGGAATAACAATATCCACCTCTCAGAGAACTGTGAGAACTAAATGAGAAAATGAGTATAAAGCATCTGGCTTGAATAGAATGGACACAACAGACACAAATTCCATTTCCTTCTTTTCTGGCATATGCAGCACAAGATAAGAACCTACATCCCTCCTTCAATCAAAAACAAATAGAGATTCACCATAATTTTAAAATGTTTGTGTCTTCCAACATATTAACATTTCCTCAAATCTGGAGCACAAGTGTGAACAGACTATTTTTAAATGATTAAAGCAGAATGTTTAGTTTGGAAAAAGACAAATGCAGGATAAAAGCCATATAACTCATCACCATTGGTTGTCCAAAAAAGCAATTTACTGATAACTAGTAGATTGGAAAGAGTGACACAGAACATAGCTTCTTATTAATCTGTTAGTCTGAGGGTCTGCATGCATATATTTAGCTAGGTTGGACTTGAGAAACAGATTTGCTTCCATAGTTGGAAATAACTCTCATGAAGACCACAAGGCATGTAGTTCCAGAAAATTTGCAATTTCCCAACAAAACAGATAAATAAATTACATACTAGATTAATACCAAAAATTATAACAGGGTACTCATT